AAATGAAAACATGGACATGGCGAGTTGGCACAAAACGAAACAAGAGCAAAACGCGAATTGCACGCGGAGGCCAAGACTGGAACTTAAGCGACGTTCATATTTTCCTGTCTATTAGGATAACTTTGCTACAGTGCTCTATTTGGATGAAGAGTTTTCAGTTGGAAACTAATGAAAATCATACAGAGTGTCAAAAACAACCAAAATCTTAAAATATTAATTTTAAAACCTAAAATTTATATTTAACAAAAAAATTTTAATAAAATTTTCATTTTTTTCTTTTAAAACTTTTTAAGCATAGATATTAAATCGTCTCGGGACTTTTTTATTAATACCTGCGATATTCCACGAGAGTCGACTTGTTAGTTCTTGCACCTTTCCGGGCGCATTCGCTTGAACTATGCGTTGAACTATGTTGTTGATAAAGTTTGCGCGGCGCACTTTATTAAGCGTGTTATAGTGGAACTTTTTCAATTTCTGAAATAATCTATTCCTCCCATGTGTGCACGGTCGATCTTCGGCGCTCGTTTTCGTCTTTTTCGCAGTCTGCGCGTCGTCGCCAAGCGTTGATATCGTCGAGATTATGGCAAAGTTTACTTTTGCGACGGCAGGCATGGCAGGAAAGAGTTAACAATAAGTTTTGCGTTAAGCTTGTTCGCCGGAGCGTCAAGAAATGAAAATTGCAAAACGAAAAAATTCTACACCTTCTCTCCAGGCGCCAATAACTAAACTGAATTTTACGCCACATGTCAATTTTAATACCGGTTAACCGGTATTTAAATTATCTACTATACAAAAGAAATTAACCGGTATTTTACACAAAGATGGAAAATAATTAAACAAAATTTTGTTTCTCCTGTTTAAAAAAAACCGGTTAACCGGTATTTTCCCTAAAAAAACGGTATTTTCCCCAAAAACCGGTTAACCGGTATATTTTTATTTTTTATTTTTTTACACCAAGATAGAAAATTATTTTATCGTTCATTAAAAAAAACCGGTTAACCGGTATTTTCTTCCAAAAACCGGTTAACCGGTATTTTCCCCAAAATCCTAATTTTTTTTCCATGTAACTAAACTATCTTAATTTACCACTCCCAGTAGTATTATCGTAAGCCACCCCCACTCCCCACTAGTCGGTTATTCGACAATTAATCAGGGAATTAAGCGTCGTGCATATTGTATTACGCGAGCGTTACGAGATGTAAATCTATGCCTTAATTGAGTGTACGCGTGCCGAACATCTGTGCAAGAATCAATCACTATAAATCATTAACGTTGACTACCCCGTTTGCACCGCATCTGAACCGGGCGTACTCCCTTGATGCTCAGCCGCTGGTTTCGTTCAGCTTTGTCGTGCGTTTGGAGAATATTGTAGATACAGTAGAATATCGGAATATAATCGTAGCAGGCTGGCAACACCGCACGTCCAATGATAATAAATGACAGCCAATGTTGCCACCGGTTGCCATTGGACGCTGCGCACTGGTGGAAAACCACAGTGTCAGACCAGACCGGTAAAGTTCTAGTTGGTTTAATCAAAAGGAAGCGACGCATTGACAACGGTTATATTTATCATTCTATTTAAACATACATACACACAGCGTTTATTTAGGTTATGTACTGATATGTTAAAGCTCCCTCTGACGGTTTTTATGCGGAGTAAAACCTTTAAACTCTGTTTCCGTAGTTTTGGGCACCGGGAACTCGGTGTTTTCTTGTTTTAATATGTCAAGTGCATTTAAGTAGATATTGTTTTTACACAATGTTTCATATTTTTATTGCGTGCGCGTCGGGTGCGGGCGAAATGATTTATCGCAAAATTAAGATGAGTGTTGAGCAAGCAGCTGGTTACAATGCTTCATGCACTTCTTCCAGCGCGTTCTTCGCGCGCCGCGAGCCGCGGCGAATTTATTACAGTTATAAATTAAAACGCGCTTGTTTTCAGCGAGATTTATGCGGTGGCTGTGCGCGTTTACTTGCTGGGGGTAGTGCTCCTACACGATGACACACAGTCAGCGAAGATGTGCGCGTGGTCCTGTCCGACAAATCCAAGAAAACCGAAAGAACTTGAAACAAACCCCAACAGAAATAAAAAAAGCAAAAAAAATTAAAACAATTTAATTAAAATGTTTTTAGGGTTTTTAAATTAAATACCGGTTAACCGGTTTTTACAAAAACCGGTATTTATAAAAAAACGGTTAACCGGTTATATAATGACTTCAAATTTATTTTTACGCATTTTTTTTAACCCGAAAAGAACATAATTTTATGCTTTGTCTTCTTTAAGTTATTGTTTTAATAAATACCGGTTAACCGGTTTTTACAAAAAATACCTACCGGTTAACCGGTTAAATAATGACCTCGAACTTATTTTTACGCATTTTTTTGCGCGAAAATAACATATTTTCGTGGCCTTTGTTTATTTTTGTTTTCTTCTTTATGCTATTGTGCCGCAAGCATTTGTTTCGCAATTGTGTCGTGCATACTCTCGCCGCCCACGCGACGTGAATTCTAATCACATGAAAAGCAAACATCTCCCCGGCCGAAGAGCGCTCCTTTATATTCGTGCACGCCGCTGCTTCTTTCTTGCCCGATGACGGGTGCGCGCGTAAGGCGCCCCCGCGTGCGTTCGCCATTATGTTTTGTCGCTATTTGTACATTCCGCGCTTTTTACTTAATCACTCAACCGCCATTTGTCGTGTGCGCGCGCCCTGTGCCCGCAAATGTACCCACTTTCATTGCCAGCGCGCACAATAGGGGCGCATTTGCTTGACGCCACAAAATCGCAAATTGCAGTGCAACATTCTCATCAAGCATTTTATTTTGTTTCCAAAAAAGTATTAAAAATAATTAAAATACCGGTGTTTTTATATGAATACTAGCTTTTGCCTGCGACTTTGTCCTTGTAGTGTTTAATAAAAATGTAATTTGTTTTTACTCTCTTGTTCTAGACATAGTATGTGTCAATTATATCAATAAGATTCGCAATTTTATTTTAAAGAAATTAATTATATAAAGAATTGCTAATCATGCACTTCAGCGTGCCATCTCGGATTCAGCTATTTAACTAAAACTATAATTGAATCTCAATGCCAACTTTTATCCAATAGAAAAAGACAGTTTTTACGGTTTTCCCGGCAATTATTCAAATTTCTCTCGCCGTAAAAACCATGCTTGGACTTTAACAAACATTTAAAAAAAGAATTGGCCAAATTGGTCAAAGTGTTGTTGAGTTATGCGCTTACCAACAGATTTTCCGATTAATTTTTATATTATAGTTATACATTATAGGCAACCAGTTATACTACAACCATTTGTGACTTAAAAATAATGTAACACCATAATACCGGTATTTTTCCAAATTGCTGCTTTGGTAGCAATGAATTTCATCATTCCGTTAACCGCAATGTTGTGATGCACTATTCAAGATAAGAAAACCGGGGCGATGAAGGGAGTGCGAAAAAGTCGCTCGCCTGGATGATTAATGCAAGTCGTAAATGCATACTGCCAAATCGCATTAAAACTTTTTTACTTTCGCCCGGCAGCGCGAGCGCCAACCCGTAACCTGCGCCGCGGCGGCGTCCTTTCCAACCCTCACAATAAGCAAAACAAACAGGAAGACGTTTTGCGAATCCACCACTCACGAAAAAGTACCAAGTTGTAACGTAAAACGGCGCGCAAACAAAACTGCACCACAACCGTTCCGACGCAAACGCAAAACTAGAAACAAGAAAGTAAAAAACAAAAGAAATGAACGTTTTCGTGGTCTGTGGCGTTTGTTTTACGATTTTTTACACTTCAAGATTATACAGTATGTTGCACAAATCAATTTTACATCAAAAACATGTGAATTTTTAATAAATTCATCAAAATAATTCAAAATTTATTAAAATTAAGTTTTTAATTAAATAATTTTGTATTGAATTTATGACATACTGTATATAATGGTCATATTTCTTGTCTAGCAAGTAAAATGCTGAAAAACTAGGTGGAAAAAAATGAAAAGCTCAAAAACATCCACTAATGAAGTTCATTTCATTAGTGCGCATTGCACTGCGCGTTAGTGCTGTGGTTTTAATGAAGAGAAGTTTTTGGTAATTAAATTTAATAGTTGTAACATTTCATGCTCGCGCTGCAGACAGCTGTCAACTGGCGAAAGCATTTGAGTGCGATTTTAAAATGCGTTTTCATTGCACCATTACAGAAAGTGGATATATAAGTTTCGCATCCAATTTAAAGCCGTTTGTTTACAACAAAGTTTTCATCAAAAAGCCTTTTAGCGATGGCGGAATTTCTGTCTTTGAGCGAGTATATATTTCTAAACCCTTTATTTTAGACCTTTATTGTCTTCTTTGCCTGCTTTCATACAGTCTATTATCTTCAACAATAAACCAACGATTTCTAAGACTCAGAGAATACTTTTATAGCATTATACTTACATAACCTCAAATTATTTAAAAATAACCAATTTTGTATTTAAAAATTCGGTGATTTTCATACGATTACCTTGTTATCGCCAGGTTTTGATGAATAGGTATTTTATACTTTACAATCCGGTGATTTTCGATTCAGAGCCTCAACTTGAACATTGATGGCCCTGCAGGGAGTCGCAAGTTACACGCCTGCACTAGCAATGCCCGGCGTCGATTTAAATGTCCGCGCCGAGAATATAAAGCGGATCAGAGTCGAATGTAGAGGATTTTAAAAACTAGAGCCGATTACCTGTGTAGAACAGCGTTCTATGATGTTAAGTCGGAATGAAAGCTTACGACAAAGCTCTACAGTTAAGAAACGATAAAGATAACATCAATCATACTTGAGATTTTTTTCGTGTCAGTTGGCAGCTCTGTTATTCAAGCGCGCAAAACTTCGTTGAGTTGTGATCAAGGTCAACTTTGAAACGCTTGTTGCTGGAGCTGAAACGCTGAATTTGCAGTGTGTGCGGTGTTAAAATACGAGAATCAACGTTGGTAAGTATTTTTAAACAATATATTAGTTAAAACAATAGGTAGATATATAGTATTAGCGTGTTTACGTGATGAAAACGTGGAAAATCAACGAATATTTCATGAATACTTCACATAACCTCAAAAAACTTACTACGCTCAACAAATATAGCAGAAAAACAAAGAAAAAGGTAAAATTCTGGTGAGTTGTAGTAAAAATAAAGTAAGTATTATATTAATAACTTAATTTGTGTAAATTAAAATGTTTTTATGTTTTTAGAGTCATGATACAAAACATCTCAACAAGTTTCGAGCCAATTGAAGGAAACCTGTGTTTAAATTTAAATCCAACAGAAATTTAATCCAATCATAGGTAAATTTCATCATGGTAACAAGTATTTGACTAGGACAAGTCCAAATTTTCTATCAGCTCGTTAGACCCTCGGTGCGCGTGGCTGGAAATCAATTATCGACGATGAATTTAATGAAATTTCCGAATTGGGTCGACACTTTCCACTTTCACGTTCACGCTTCGCGTTTTGCTCCTCAGCACTCGTCGCGAATCTTTCGCTGCGTGACTACCGCAAAACAAACAAAAGGCAGACGCGCACGAAACTTCGTTAGCAGCAGGTGCCATTAGTAGTGACAGTGGTAGTTAGTTAATAAGAAATAGATTAAGCTCGGACGGTGCGCCGGAACGCGGCCGACGACTGCGAACGCGACGACAAAGACAACGCTTGAAATAATGGCGGCGAGGAAAAGTTCCCTTTTCGGCATAACAAAGGCTTTTGTTCTCAGAATAGCAACGAGTACCGGAAAGCGGAAAAGTAGTTGTTAATCTACGACAGATTTCACTTTCGCGTTTTTTAAATGTTTGCTGATTTTAATTTGAATTTTTGGTATGCTAATAAACACTTCAAAGTCTAATGAAGTGTCGCGCACGTATTGTGTTGCAGTATTGCTGTGATTTTGTGATGCTTATCACTTTCACAGCTCATAATTTCGTCATCGTTGATGCTGTAATAATTAGCACGTTTTGCTAGCGGTACGCATTGAACGTAAGAGCGCGTCATGAATATTTATTAAGTGTTTTCTGATGTCGCACCAACCGGAGCGAAATTGGAATTGAAACGTCAACGAAAACGATGGAAGCAAAACGCGCGACAACGCCGCTTGCGATAATTTCATTCCGGGTGTGCGTCTTAAATTAATTTTCGCATCTTTTGCGCCCAATTTAGAACGCGACGCCTATTTTAAGAAAAAATTTTGGAAATATTACATTTTAGACGTGCGCATGTTGTAAAACATCGCCTAATCAAATAAATCGAGATTTGGGGGAGAAAATCAAGTCGTAATATTGATGTAAACTCAAGCAGGTGACGCAGGGAAAGAAAAATAAATTTAAAAAAAACATACAAAGTGGAAATATGTAGTACGAAATTGTAGGTATGTGTAATTCTTGTTTTCAATACGCTGTCAACACTAACGCACTACCAGTAGCTAAATAGTAAGCGTTAAGGGCGGGTCGAGGGTAAAGTAAGTGCAGTGCATCGACTTTTCGAATTTATCATTCCCGGCGATAGCGCACGCCTGCATTTCGGCGCAAATAAACCGTTCGCCATTTAGCAAAGTCGAGGCGTGCGCGCGTGAACGCGCCCGATATAAATCACACCCGTACGGACAATACATATAACTCGTTACACGCCTGTACATCTAGTCGCGCCCCTAAGAACAATGACTAAATGATAGTCTCACCTACGCGCAACGCGTTACAATTCCCATATAGTTACACATTTCATACACGGGTGTAAATTGGGTCAATCTGGGGTTAATTCGAGTATAATGTGGCTATTTTATAATTGCACAGATAGCAAATTTATTAGTGTACATAATATACAGTTAAAATTTTTTAATTAAAAAAATTAACATAAATAAATAAATATATTTAAAAAGGTCCACCTTTAAAGCGTAAGTTTTTCATGGATTTTAGACACATAAAGTTGTATTTTTACACACGGCCAAGGTGGAGTAAAGTACTTTAGTATTTGGGTACAGTTTACGCCTAGCGTAAACATCAGTGAAAAAACGTTGTAAACATCACGTGGTTAAACGCTCGCTCTTAATCAAACTCGTGACAAAAACTTCCGTTTAGCCACTTAATATACTATTTAAAAATATTTTAAGAAGGGCAAAATTAAGTAAAATTCATCAGATATTTTTATCTTCAAGCAAATCGAGGAATTTTATATTTTTGCAAATGAATATTTTGAAACAAAAAGATTAAAAATTTAATATCGTTTTGAGTTAAATTTTCAATATATAAATTTCATGGATTTAAATAATTGCACGTAATAAACGTTTAATTTCCACCAATAACAATTGCCCAATAAATTCAAAAATTCGCACCAGACTATCCGCTGTATAATTACCTCGCGTTTTCCGCGAATTCAACGCGCTTGTTATTTGTGGCCAGAACGAAATGCGCGCCAATATACTCAGTAAAATTTTATCAAACTGTCGTGCATAAGTCAATCACAATAGACGGGAATTCACCATCGATGGCGCGCACATTTGTTTGTTGTGGTAAATTGCATTTAAACTTTCGGGCACGCCGGCGCGCTTCTATTTAATAATAATTATCACACGGGAAATACGAAAAGCGTCGATATTTGCGCATCCGAAATGGAAATTCGATTCGACGCTTGTTTACGTATAATTTTAATTAAACCCGCGCTTTATACTAGAGTTGTTTTAGTTGTAAGCGAAATTCGATAAACATCTATAGAATAAATTTTTTAATAATTTCAAGGTATGAATTTATATGGTCGATGCCAAAATGGTTTTTCATTAATTCTATAACCTCGAATCGTATAAGAGTGCAATGTATAGCATATACCGGAAAACCGGAAGTAATCGAATTGGAATTGTACGCTGTGCGCTAAGCGTCCGGATCGTTTCGTCGTTTCGAATGCATTAACATGATTAGATCGATGCTGAGCACCGCCAGAGTCATGCAAATCGCATCGGGGATATCACCATCGACATCAATACGCGATAATCATGAGACGTGCATTTCCTGTATATTCGTGAATTCCTACGGGCGCAAACAATTACACTATTTAACTAATTGCGTTTCTTTATTTGCAAAAATCGTATTGAATCATGTATGCTCGGTACTTATACCGCATCTCCATCATTGGCCATGTTTATTTGCTATACAATTGTGAATTCCTAAGGGGGTAAACAATTACACTATTCAACAAATTGCGTTTCTTTTTTCTTTTTACAAAAATTTCATTGAAACTTGTATGTTCGATACTTATACCGCATCTCCATCATGCGCTTTATTTATTTGATATACATTCGTGAATTCCTAACAATTATACTATTTAATTTATTGCGTTTCTTTTTTTCACCAAAATCGCATTAAATCTTGCATGTTCGGTACTTATACCGCATCTCCAACATTGTCCACACTGAAATTATGAATTTATACACACATCGAGGTCAAATAGATTACCGTTTTGTTTGTTTTGATGCATGTTGTGATATATTATTCTGTTGGAGAATGCATAGTGTTAAGTGCGGCATGCACGGAATAAATAAATTGCAATTTCGCGCACGGGTAGAAGCGACACACCGAACAAGTTGATGCGCGCATGCAGCGAAATTGAGTGTAAATAAAAGGAATTGCGCTCGTCGCGAACATCTCGCGCATGTAATGCGCTAAAGACATTGCGCCACTGAAAATGCATCCCTTCGCAACACCTTTACGTTACGCTACATCCCTTTGGGATGCTGATGTTGATGTTGAACACCACACGAGGTAAACTTGCGAAAATTGTTTAAGTTATTCTAATGTCATGCATAATTTATCTTTGTGTGTTGCGAAAATTTTACGAAAACCTTTTTTTTGTTGGTTATATTTATGCTTATGGAGGTAATGCACGAATCGCGGAAATGGTTTAATAATATCGGTACTAAATTTTAACCGCCCGGCTGCAGAGGCCGAGGTACAATCACACGCGATGTCGTTTTCGATATCATTTGGACGCACCGTCGTTGCACATTGCACATTGACAGTCAAATTGCGAGAGCAAAGGGGAGGTAATTTGGCAAAACGATTCAATAAAATTCCTGATCGCAGACATACGGGCGCACAAAGCGCAAGAGGGAAATTTACGAACGATGTAACATGCTAGTTTCCTATTACGATTCATAGGTGTATAAAATCCGAAACGCACCTATCAACGATTTGTGTTTTCGCCGAGTTAATTACAAGCATCACAATCCATTAGGGATTGTAATGATGATTTATGTTGATTATAATAGTTTAAAACGTAATTACTTTTGTGTTGTTATTAATTTCGGCCATCCGTAGCGTGTTTGTAAGCCACAGGATGTGCGTTGCCGGTCTGTCGGATGCTGAAGGCGTGAGACGTAGGTAGATGCTGGGCCGATGGCCCATATTACGAGTGGGTCACGCTGTGTACGCAAAGCCGCACTTTATCAAACGCGACAATATCACGAAAACACGGTAATGAAAGACACGCCAGCACATATACACGCAGATTACAGCCTGGATTCCAGCATTGAACCTTTTGTTATGTCCTGGTCTAATACACATAATGTCCTACAAGGTTGCATAGAACTATAGAGTTACGGCGGATTCCACAAAGGTGCCATAGTTAATGTAGAGGCCTGAAACGAAATAATATGACACTGAAATTTACGGTGAACGTGTAATTTATCAGGGATGATAATTGTGAGTAGGTATCGGATTTGCGGAGAAAACTGACTTTGGAGAGTCATTATTTAAATTAAAGCTTTGTATGAATACAGCATAGTATTTTCCGTAAACTAGAGAAAGTCTTGAAATAATTATAAGCAGAATTTCAGCTTTGTTTGTTATTTTTATGCAATTAGACTTTTAGTGTTAGGCAACTTTTTATACACTAAAGAACTGCCGATGCGAGCATTGACATAACCTCGCCCTGAAATATTTTTTTTCTTCAATTTTTTTAAGACTTCGTCTCGGTAGTGTTTAATAAAAATGTAATTCAGTTTTACTCTCTTGTTCTAGACATAGTATGTGTCAATTCTATCAATAAGATTCGCTATTTTATTTTAAAGAAATTAATTATATAAAGAATTGCTAACAATGCACTTCAGCGCGCCATCTCGGATTCAACTATTTAACTATAACTATGATTGATTCTCAATGCCAACTTTTATCCTATAGAAAAAGGCTGTTTTTAGGGTTTTCCCGGCAATTATTCGAATTTTTCTCGCAGTAAAAACCATCCTGGGACTTTAACGAACATTTTACAAAAGAATTAGCCAAATTGGTTTTGGCGTTGTTGCGTTATGCGCTTTCCAACATATTTTGCAATTTATTTTTATATTATAGATATATTTTTATATTATAGATATATTTTTATATTATAGATATATTTTTATATTCCTGTCTCAACAACAAAAATAATATTTATAGAAGTAATCATAGATTATTTGATAATATTGATATTAGAGTAATTGATATTAACAAAACTAGTTATGCGTAACTTTGCACGTTAGCAAAACCCACAAAGTTGAACTTTGCAAGCGTGCATAGCACACATACACCCAGTTGTCAACCCGAAACACTGAAGTATTCCACAAATGAGCACACAGGTGTAATTATAGTAAATGATACTCAACATCCACGGCGAGTATTGGAGGTAATTAAATGTTGCACAAATGTTGTCACAAATGACATTCAGCCAATCTTGTACGCATTAAAATTGAGCAAATTGTTTGCTTAACTAATTAATTTACCGCCGCAACGCAATGCAACATTATCTAAATTAATGTATTATTAATTATTATTATTATTAGTGAAAGATGTTGAAAATAAAATGAAATTTTCATGTGTGTTTAAGAACTTCCTGGAGTTCTCTTCAAGTATAAGTATCCAAGTACTTAGATACATACTTGTCTTAAGTATAAATGAGTCTTTCCCAAGTCGACATTATTTGATACTTTCGGCGGAAACCGCGCTCTTAAAGGGGAGAAGTTGAAGCGCGAAGCAGAAGTGTGAAGGATTATTATTACCATGACACAACACCGACGACAGTGCGTGTGCAAATTAATTCGAAAATGTAAATATTATCATTTAAGAAAAGCGAAATGACAAAAAACGAGTGGATGTTGTATGAAGGGGTACACAGAGGATTAGCAAAAGTGGCTTTATAAACAAATCAAAATTTGTTATTCATAAATAATATATTTTGATTATTTGAGAAAAAAAAATTAAAAGCAAACATTTAGTAAATTACGAAAATATAAAGCATAATTTTTGCAATTAAAATTTATAGCTATTTGAACTACCAATGTATTTT